ATTAAGTAAGTAGTAAGTAATTCCTACGTCCCACCGTGCTCGAGGCCTTTCCCTCATCATTTCTGGACAAAGCCGGGATGATGCACGCAGCCTCCCCTCGGACCTTTGCAGCACGCAGCAGGGCGAGCTCAATTCCGCGAGCCACCTTCGGTCTCCACAGACACCGCGACCAAAGGCGGTTCGCAGAACCTCCCGCAAACCAAGAGCTGAAGCGACGCCGGCTTCTAAGCAGCCGGCCCGGGACTGCCCCCGCTGCGGCAAAGGGAAGCGCGGGGGCCAACACTCCTCCCCGGGCGGAGGGGCCGTGGAGCGGCGCTCTGCGCGGGAGCCACTCGGAGGCACGCACGGCTCTCCCCGCACGGCGGCCGGCCCGCGGCTCCGAACGCCCCGAGGCGAGCGGCGGCCGCCCGTAGGCGCGCGGTGCCCGGCCCCCGCAGGACGGCGGCGCTCCGCACAGGGCCCCGCGGCCGCCCCCGGGGCCGGCGCTGCCGGGCGGGCTGCGGGCGGGCCGGGGCCGAGCCGCGCGATGACGGGCTCCGCAGCCCTGCCCCCGCCGCTGCGCGGCCGCCCGGCCCGGCGGGAGGCGGGGGGATTTCCAAGCGCCGGCGGCTCGCCGCTTCCTCTCCTTGTTTTGCTTTCGATCTGGACCTTTCGCGGCCGAAGCGGAGGGAGTAACTTTTAGTTTTGCTCCCGCGATTATTCAGCGCCTGTTTTCATTTCCATTTCGCGTCCCCTGGCAACGGCGGTAACCTTGAGGAATTATATAAGTGCCGCGAAGACGCGTTGGAAAGGTAAAAGCGCTGATAGCGTTACTTATTTATTTTTTATCGCATCTGATTTTTTGGTTTTGTTTCGCTTTTCCCCCCCCTCCCCCGAGATCGCCGCGGAGGCGGTGCGGCGTCCCGCCGGTGCTGCGGGCGGAGCCCGGGCCCGCGAGCGGAGCGGAGCGGAGCGGCACGGAGGCCGCCGGGCCGCCGGTGCGCGGGCGCGTCTCGCCGCGGGGACAAAGGAGCGGGCACGGGAGCACCGAGCGCAGCCCCGCCGCGGGAGGAGGCCGCGGGCCCGGGCGGGGCGCTCGGCGCCTTGCGGGCCGCGCTCGGAGCCCCGCGGCCGCGCGGCGCCCTCGGCCCGGCACTTGTTGCCGCGAACGGCGGCGTGGGTGCGGCCCGGCCGCTGCGGGCCGAGGGGCTGCGGGAAGGCCCGCGGCGGGGGGCGCCGCCCGGCCCCTCCCGGCCGTTACACAAGCGGCGGCCGCGCCTCCCCCCCCACCCTCCGCCGCGGTGACGCCCAGCGGCGGGCGGTGCAACCGCCGCGGCGGCCTCCGCTCGGGCCGCGCCGCCGTCCGCTCCCCGGGCTCCGCGGGCGTGTGCCGCCTCGCTGCCGCCGGGCCCGGGCGGAGCGCACGGCCTCGGCCGGGGTCGCCGAGGATGGTGGTCCGGGCCGAGAGGCCGAGAGGCCGCGGGGCCCGGGGCCGTTCCCCGGCGATCGGATGGCCTGTAAATATCCAGCGAGGAAACGGGGCTGTGGGAAGCGGGCGCTCGTCTTTTTAGCACGCCATCGGAATGAGCTGCGGGCCGGTATCGGCGGCACCTAACGGCGCTCCCCGCCCGACCCGGCGGGAGAAGCGGCCTTTTGTTTACACGGGGCGCCGTCACTTCGCTCCCGCTCGACTCTTCTGCCCTGCTGGGAGTTCGGCGGCGAGCGAAAGGCCGAAAGCCGGACGTCTTTCCCGAAGGAAAAAGTTAGGAGCCGGAGTTTTGTTTGCGTGCAGTGAGGAGGGCCGGGTTGCGGCGCCGAGCAAACGGCTGGGATCCAGGCTGCGGGGCTGAAGGACTCTCCCAGCCTTTCCCAGCCGGGTCCCGGCGGTGTTCAGCTCCTTAGCTCCCACCGGACGCGGCGTGCGTTTCAGGCTGAGGTGTTTATACACTGAGCTCCCATAGCGGGATTGTGTCGATTTCATTTTCAGCACCCTGAACGTTGCTCCTGGGTGATATACAGCTGTCACTTGTAGTGCGCTCACATCTGGACAGCGATCTCTTGAACGCTGGAGCTCTTGTAAAGCAGAACCTCCGTTTCTTTAGACAAAATACTTAACGTTTAAAATTACAGTTACTAAATTAGATTTGCATGTAGTATCCTTTGGTAACACCAAAAAAAGAGAGTTGCAAGTAGCAACAAAATTTGAATTCACCCTGGTGCGGAAATGGTGACACAATTATAAAACTAGCACGAGTGGTCTGTGAGGCAGATGGTTTCTGTCTGAATCACAACCTTTCCATGCCACTGGTCCCTTCTGAGGCTTCACTGTCCCATACTGGTATTGTCTCTCAGAGGGATTGCTCCATGTGCACTCAGCATGCTTCTTGCTGACAAAACTCAGTGTGGTTAGCATGAGTGTGCAGTGAGCCCTTTGGCACAGTATTGCTTCACTGAGACCCTGTGCCATGCGTTTGGCTAGTTATAAGCACAGCCAGGTAAACTTGTGGGGGGGAGCTGGGCATCGCAGCTAGGAGACAGAGGTGTTCAGAGTCATGTTGACACATGTATCTTGGTGATATCTCTGTCAGAATATGGCAAACCAGTCTCTTGGGAAACGCTGCTAGTCAGAGATCATACATGAAAGGGGTAGCAAGGAGGTTTGAGAAGTAAAATAATGCTGTTAGATAGGGGACTAAGGACCTAAATCTCCACTGTACTAAGGACTACAATTGTGTGTGGTGTCAGAGAAGCAGACTTAATGTGTTAGAGAGAACGATGCAGAAGAAGGGTGCTAAGATTCAAGAGGAACTGGAAGTATATTTGGAATAGAAGGAGCCCGCATTGGAAAAATGGGTTTATCTAAATAAATCCATGCTGCCTTAAGCTGAAGTATACATTTATGTATGTGTAATATGCGTGTATAAAAATAAAAGTTTTAAACCAAAACTGGGGGGAAAGCCTGTAGGTGAAGAATACGAAGTTTGCAGTGAGATAACCTCTCACTGGAGGGGGCCATCCCTGGAGCATTAAAACTGCTGTCAATATATCTCCATCATACAGTACTTGGAGCATCAGAAACGGTGGAAGCTCAGATATTGTAGTGACTACAGCTGGCCTAGGGAGGATGGGGTAGCTTCTATGTGCATGAAGTGGGGTGCTGGTTGTTAAGGACTGCCTGTGACAGGAAGTTGCACAGGATCTTGTGAATCGGTGCTCCAGGCCTAAATAGGAAGAGGGTAGATTAAGGCTGCATGGTTCAAGGTGTTGACTGGCTGTCATACATTAAGGTAGAACAGAGAACCGTTGTTGCAGGAGCAGTAAAGCCAGGGGCTACTGTGGTGGTGTTAATTCTCCATAGTAAATCTTCATGAAAGAAGAAAAAATTTCATGAGTACAAGGGTGAGAGGCAGTCAAAAGTGTAAAATACTTGCAGGTGGCATGTAATTCTTCAAAGGCACTGTAACAGAGGCTCAAAGCAGTTGCATGGCATCTGCCAGAAATACCAAAAGAGCTGAAGAAGCCGGAAAACAAAGTGAAGCAGTTCAGCAGAAGTAAAAAGACATCTTTCAGCAAGATAAAGTTTTGTGCTCAGTGAGAAGGATGGAAAAGAATGTAAAATCTGTGTTAAACATAATAAGGTAGGCCAAACAGAGTCATGGAACAAGTTGCTAGAAGCATGAAAACAAACAATAAATCCTCTTTGAAGTGCATCGAAAGCAGGAAGCGTGCTGATAAATGATCCATGTGCAGAAGGAGTGCTCGAGGAAGATAAAGTCGCAACAGAAGACTGAAACAAGGTCTTTGAGTCATGTGCGCTAAGAAGAGTTTTGGGAGATTCTTTTGTTGGAGGCTTTTTACTTTTTTAAGTGAGCGTGTTTGGGGTTTGCTCTCAAATAGGTGTGACTGTATAAGGAGGTATCAGAACAAATTGCTGGAAATGAAGGATGAGGTAGAGGAGGTGACGCTTAAAATGTGGAATTGCTACTGCATTCCCCAATGTGTGTCACTTGTTGCTTAGAGCTGGCCTTGGTGTTCCAGGAATAGAAGGTGACAAATCTCTTGTCAGTTGTTCAAGTTTTCTGTGGAGACGGGGAACTGTAGGGCAGTTGGTTCTGTGTTTGTTTGTTTGCCAGTAGTTAGTGAATGGGATTAGTGAACGGGAGGTATAAATGTGATATCTTGGCAAAGAATAGGCCTGGCTTTTGTTGAGGAGACCTTGTGCGTCACGGGTCTTGTGGGGTTTGTAAAGGTGTTGTTGAGCTGTTGTTGCGGTCTCCTTGATACTGCCCTTCCCCGAGCAGGGCTGGGCTCAGCGTGGGATCAGGTTGCTCTTGGCATGGCCATGGCCAGCCTGCTGGATGGAAGGAGGGTGCTGGTTGCCCCTGCCGCTCAGCGGGTGCAGGAGGGGCTGGGTGGTGGTGCAACAAGTTTGCTCGTTGGATTCGCCCATTGTTCCCTGTAGTCAAACTCCAAAGGCCAAACTGCAAAGCCTGCAGAAGGATCTTGTTATGTTGAAAGCCCAGCTGTAAGGCTGCAAATAAAATTCAGTACATACCAATGAAATGTAATGCACATGGAAGGGAATGTAATCTTAACTTTATACACAAAAGGGAAGCTTGAACTGACTGTTTTTACTGGGGGAAAGATCGTAGGACGTAGGTAATCCTATGAAAAAATAAGCTCTGTGCCCTGCAGTGGCTCAGAAAGCAGAAGGTGGGTTTGGAATTATTAGGAAGGAGTAAAACATGGAAAAGTAAGCATCATTGTGCTACCCTAAACCCCTATTGCTCCCCTCTCTGAACAGCATTAACAACTTCTGTTTCCCCATCTCAGAAAGGGTGCAGTGAAACCAGGAGAGCTGCAGAGAAAGGCATTGAGGACAATCAGGTGGATAGAACAGCTTTTGTGAAAGACTGGGGCGCCTCATCTTGGCCAGGAGATGGCTGAGGAGGATATGGGAATGTTCCTTGAAATCATCAGTGTAATGAGAAGAACGAACAGGCAGCAGGGAGCAGGTAAGCACACCCCACAGAAATCAATTGAGAGGCACTCAGTACAGGAGGAGGTGTTTGTGGGGCAGCCCATAAACCCAGCATGCTGTGGGTGCCAGGAGTTTAAGCAGGTTCACAAGCGATGAGGCAGCCTGTGGGAGAGAAACTTGCCATGCAGCTTAGCAGTCAGTGCAGGTCAGTTTCAAACTTAATATCCACAAACTACAGCAAGTACCGATCAAGAATTCTTTCTGAGAACTAACTGCAGGTAGAGATTTTCTCCATGAGGATAAGCATAAGCCTAAGAAGTGATCCGTTTGTAGGTTGCCTAGAGAAGCGAGACTGTGAGCTGACCTTTGCAACATGAATCTTGTGCCTTAGCTTTTTAGGAAACTTCAGAAAAAAGAACATCTGTTTCCAAGATGCCCCTATTCAATCTATGCTAGTTACACCTGGACTTGTTAACCAGACACAGGCTAAAAGCATCACGCATGCACCTAATGCTGCGTAGGAGTGGTGTTCCAGCAAAATTCTTCAGGAGTTTGAAGGATTAGAACCTCCATTTGTGGACTTCCAGTGCTGAAAGTCCAGATCTGTTTGTAGATAAAGAAGGAGAACTAACCACACGTTACTTGTTTTGTGGGACTCTTACTTATCTCTGTGACTTGTTAAAGACTGACCTTTTAGAACTCAGTTCTTCAAAGGCCTTCAGTAATTGTTATATGGAGGATATAAGCCATAAGGTAGTGTTTACAGAAGTTTTATTATAGCTTGTGCTGCTATAAACTGCGATTAGTGTCAGATGTTTTGTTTTTTGAGATCACAACTGTGAAAGGAAAACAAAAATATCAGTAAACCAAAAACAGATTTATTACTTTGCATATTCCTCACGTAAGAATAACTTTATGGAAAAAAATATTCAGTGTAGTTAAAGAACTTCCTTCTCATTTTCAGATACATTGAATCATTACTTGTGAACATTATGAAGGTTCTTCCTTGCACTGACAATGTGTGAGCTCTCATGTTAAGATTAAAATAGCCAGTAGGAAAAACTAGTATTGATTATAACTGTTATAAATTTAGCATGTTAATAGTTAAGAGTTTAATGCCTACATATTTATAGCTAACATATACAGTTACCCTTTCTGTAATGGCATGATGAATGCATTGTGCAGCACACATGTCTTACTGATAGGTTGTAAACACTTAACTCACTTTTGCAGTTACTGCTGGATATGTTTGCAACATATCAAGGTGTTAGAATGGAGATAAGCTGTGGCAAAAGCACATTGACATTTGTTGCAGTGGATGTTGTCTAACTATTTCTATAGAATCGTTTTCAGTAGCTTTTAAAGACCAACATGCTTAGCACAGGTACAGCACAAAAGAAGGAGGGTTTGCTTACAGCCTGTTGTAAGAAAGTTCTGCTTTCTGGTATGTATGGAGGGATATCTGTGAGTTGAAGGGCTCAGTGAGTGCACAGAAGGCAAAATCTGTGCTGCAGTGTTTCTGTTGTTGGATATGGCTTGATGGCATTACAGGTGAAGCTCTTACAGCATTACCTAAGCAAGATAATGCCTTAATTCATCCATAAGGGGAAGTAGGAATAAGTTTAGGTCTGTGTATGCATTTGATGCGTATGTAGAACACGTGTTTGGTGCATGATATGGGCTTTCTGTCCCCTTAGTGCACTGCTGCTCTTAATCCGAAGATGTTTTGTTGAGTTGTGCAGATGTGCTTTAATTTAACTGAAAGATGAAACAAGTGGAAAGTACAGAACTATTGAATTAAATTCAGCGTGACATATCAGTTTTTAAAAGCAAAATAAGTCAATTCTCTTGCCAAAAGCATTCCAAATTTGTAACAGCGTCTTACGAAATTTATCTAAATTAAAAATAATTCCACAGTTGAAAAAAGGGGAGGATAGGAGGCAAATACTTTAAAGCTGCTGAAATCTTTCCTGCAGGATTTGAAATCCACACGTTGTGATGTTAAAAACGTGAAAGCAAAACTTGAGCATAAAATTGAAACCAAATGTAAACAAAAGTGAAACTGACTCCACTGGTTTTCATTTCCAAGTTGGCAAAAATGAAAGAATAAACGCAGAGCGAGGAAGCATGCGAGCTGGACTTCATAAAATTTAATTCCATGTTGTTATTTACTTCATCTGTTGGTAAATTTGACTTCTACAAGACAACACTCTTTTAACTGAATAAAGGAAAGGATTAAGAGCTTTTCCCACTGGTTTTCCAGTTAATGCTTTTCCTATCTGGTTCTCCCTGTGATAACCCTGAGGTGCTCAACTTGGCCCTGTTCTTGTGGGGAAGTCATGTTTGGAAACATTGTAGTAATACTGGCATTGGGACACCTGGAAAACTTGAATGTGTATCCTTCTCATATGTGGAGACACATCTTCATGGACTGTATTGAACAAAGTGTTGATTGGGTATTGAGGAGGTGTATGAGTGCAAAATGAAGGACTTCAGTTGCAGAGATTGAATTCTCACACACTTGGTGAGTGTTATGTTTGAGTGTATCAGAACTTTGTTCTGGAGATTCAGGATTTGTGAGGGAAGCTGCTGAAGACTGACTTTGTTTAGCTTAATGTTGTTTATCTGGCTCGGAATAGCAATGAAGATGAGTTCAGTGGTCTCACTCTAGCTCTGCGGTATTTTAGGAAGCCTCCAAGATAGAAATAGCTGCTGCAGATCAGGAATTGGGGCTGTCTCATTGCTGTTAGTCTGTGATTGACACAAACATTAGAGGAAGAACATATTTTGTAAGCAATCCCTTTAACCATTCATATCTCAACATGAATGAGTAAAGAAGTTCCTGTATGTCCTGTGGTGGTGGAAAGAGTAACATTTCTATACCAAGTAGGATTACAACATACTGTTTCAGCACGTGTCTTTACTAAGCCTTTATTATTTAGTACTCTTGAAATGGAGACCTTTAAAGTTTACATACAAGAAAGAGACGTTTCTCTCTTAAATTCACCAGTGTCTGCCAGTATCTCTAGAATAACTAACTCGATTTAAGTTATTTTTTGTGCTCACACATCTGCTTCTTTCACGGTGCTATTTTTGTAAGCATAAATAAGTGCATGTGACAGACATGTTTCCAGCTTGCCGTGTGGATGATTCAGAGTATCCCAGCCCCTAAGTCTGTGCCTTCTGTGGTCTGTCCTTAAAGCAAGAGTGCTAAGTAAGTGGCAGAAGTGTGTTTTACTAATCCAAAATAGCATATATTTCTCTTTAATAATTGAATCATCTTAGCCAGACGTTTGGGAGTCGTCCCTTCTGTTGGAAGTGAGGGATAAACTGCTTTCACAAGAGGGCTGGCTTTGGTGCTCGGTGAGAAGTTAGGCAGGAATGGTTTCTGACTTCTGTTCTTGGTTCTGGATGCTGTGCTGGCGATTAGAAGTCAGGGTAGCAAAAAGAAGGTGTGAGTTAGCTATTAACTTTGGTGGTAGAGGCTGCCTTTGCCCAGACAATAAAGCGAAAGCTTTAAGCAAATATTAAATCGTACTTTAGTGTAGTGTGCAAATAGTTTTTGCTGTGTGTTGCAGAACAGTATGTTACACAAACAAGGCTAGCTGTGGGAAACGAGTCAAATCTGAGCAAGGTGGATTACATCAGGTTCAGGTCATGGCCAGTAAATGTGAAAACTCTTCCTTGATCGCATTTCTTGGCGTTAGCTGTCTGAAATAATTTTTCTGCCTCTCTGAGTGCCTTTAAAACATAACCATCTTTTCTGGAGACTTGCCCGATCCTCACAAGCTACCAGTGTGGGAACACTGAGATTAAGGACTTCTGGTTTACAACGGCTGCTTTTCTTACTTGTGGTGTCCTATAAAGCCCTGACCGTGTTATTTAGTCAGAGAAGCGACAGGACACAGGATGAAGACTGCAGGCTTTGAAAAAGATGTTTACAGTGTATAATCCCCATCTTTTAGGTACTTGCATGTATGATTTTGTGTTGCTTTTATAAAGACCAGTGTAGGAAATGTGTGCTCGGCAGATGTTTTAGGGATGTTTCCTGTAAGCCTACTCACAGGGCATTGAGTCTAACAGAGCCAGGGAGGGACTTTAAAAAATGCTGCTGAGCTGCATTAGTATGATAAAAGAAGCGATTCTTGATAATTATTTGAGCCTCAACAGCCTTGTATTTTCATCAGCCTGGAAAATTCCTTATGAATCAGCTGTCAAATGCTGAGTTTTCCTGACAGATTTAAGAATGTGAAGGGTTTGGCCGCAGTGGAGCCACATCAGCTATTGTATGTGGGTGTTCGAGAGTGAATTTGTGTGTGAGCAGTTAATTCCAGATTAGAATTGATTTATTTGGGGATAACTGCTCCCCGATGCAAGGAATTAATTGTTGCCTGACAACCACGCCTGTGATTTTTCCTGTTGTAAACAAGCCCTTTCTAAACTTGTCTGAGTGAAGGACTGATCTACTACTGAAAAAATGACCACTTGGTCTTCTGGCAGCTTTTAGGGGAAAAATCCTGACATATCCCAGGTGCTGATAACAAATCTTGAGCAATCACCAGGCATAAAACAAAGCTTAAGGAGTAAATAAATCAGGTAGAATTTTGGCTGTATTTCAGACTTCTAGAGAAGGTGGCAGGGAGAGAATTGTATGTAATCACATGCCGTTGGCTGCCGTCTGTGTGGACATGCTGTCATCCTGACCACATCTGAAGTTGGCATCTCCGTCCTGAGTCAGGGTGAGACCTGGGAAACAAAAGAGAGAAAAGTAGGAAACAGAGTATTCCTTTAAAGTGAAGCAGTGGCTTTGTGTGCTCACCAGACTTGGGGACATTTGTGGGTGTACAAATGATAGATTATTTTGGTGGCACAGATACTGCAGGGATGATCTTTAAAAATCTATTTGTTAGAAGCCTGGGCCAAGTTCCCAGCTGATGCAAGTCACTGTGTTGCCAAAGAAGCGAATGGGCTCAGCAGCACATATTCATATCTTATGTTGTGTTTGTATTCAGCATAGGAGCCAGTAAAATGGAAACCTTGTTGTAGGTGCTGAGAAGCTGAAGCACTGTTTTATAGCAGCTCAGTGCAGAAGCACGTCAGGCACCTGGTTCTGTTGTGTTAAGATTTCTCTGCTTTTCTTTGGTGCAGTTCTAGTCTGCAAATCCAAGGGCTACCTTTAACAATGCCTGAAATCACTACAAAACAACAACTCACGTCTTTGCTGCTGAGGGAAAATAAGCTTTGCATGGAAACCAAAGGAAAGAGTCTGTTTTGATGTGTAATGTCTGAATCCCAGCCAGGACATGTTAACACCCTTTGGGTGGAACAGAAATGCTATAGGGCTGATGAAATATACTCTATACAGTATGACTTCCCATTGTATGTTTTCCTGGCCTTGTTTGTCATGCAGTGTATAATGCTGATTTCAGTACATGTTTGAAGTATTTCTTTCGTTCCATATTTTTTTCTTCTGTAAGGAATGCTTGGGAGTTTTTCCACCCTCCAGCCCTTGAGGACACAAGACTTTTTTTTTTCTTCCACCTTTCTGTATCTTCCTTGCATGCAGCAGCAGCATAAGAGGGGAATGCTGAATGCCCCTCTACTCCATTCAATCACACCTCCCTACAGCCTGAGGTGAGCACCAACAGCCCACGCTGAGAAGGACCTTTGGAAGTTGTGTAGCTGTTGCTGGCACCATCTCACAGATTTCCAGCCATGATCCTGGTGTGGCCTGTGGTTTGGGAGCTGCGGTAAGCAGGTGAATATTTCTCTGTGGTTGCCCTTGATTGCCCTTACTAATGGCCAGGCCAGACCAGGCCATGTGTACCAGTACTGTGGGATCTGTGCCTTACCAGCCTGCCTGTTCTTTAATTGTTGGCTTTCTAGCCTGTCTCGGAGTCTCCTCCTTCCTGCAGGCACCTGAGCAAGTGAGGTACAACCTTCCTTGGCTCTTGTGAGATATTTTTCTTGGTGACTCTCAGGAAGGACATAGCACACTCACACAGACCTTGTTTGCTGCTGCTGCCAAAGTGTTGCTAAAGAGCAGGAAAAGTACTGGCTTTGTAGCAGTGTGGATCAAGAATTATGGCCAGGGGGTGTGGAGCAGTGGGTAGGCTTTAAATGGAAGAGAGCACAAGGCAGAGTTGGGATGTTTGCATTGTCCCTGTTTAGTAGTGTCAGTGTTTGTAGGGAGCAGAAGAGAGAGGCAACATTAATGCATGACAAGAAAAGACCAGAAAGGGTATCTGTTTTGCTGTCTCATGAATTTATTCATGAGTCTAACAAGTCTTTTTTAGGGGTTTCCTATGCTTTCTTGCCTTGTATCTCTACTTTACAACTCCAAGAGCTTCAGGGTTTTATTTGGAACTCTTAACCCATGCTCCTGTGACAACGAATATGCTCACTTTTCCTCACTTACTAATGTTACTTTAATTAAGTGTTTTGCTGTAGGTTCCAATAAAGATAACATGCATTTGCATAATTTGGGATTGTCAGAAAGCAGGCGTGTTAATTCTGCCTTGGCAGCATCAGCAGTAAGGTTTTATTTGTGCTTTTGGAAGAGGTGAAATACACCCAGGCAGAGGTCTCTTGTAGGATGCGGTTTGACACAGTTCAGATGTCTGAATTCAGTTATGTGTGTTTCTCAAGTACTTCTGACAAGGTCACATTAACAGGTTTTCTTTCTTACCCACAGAAATATCTCTGAATAGGGTGACTTCCAAGCTAGGTTTGCTCAGAGTCCATACACGCAAAATACTATGTGAAGGTAGAGTCCAAGTTGTGATCAAGGGACAGAATTTTGCTTTTAAATGCTGGTCCTCAGAATAAGATCATGTTTCTTTGTATCCCTGAACAGTCTTGGCACGTGGACAAATACAGAACTCAGTTCCCTGAATCCTAAAATTAGTGTATGGTCTCATTTCAGCATGTGTTTGGTCACACAGAGTGATTGATGCTTTTCTGATGTGCACCAGCGTTAGGAAGCAAAGGGAATGCTTTAAAAGATTATCAGCAAAGCACAGATACCAGATTATTATTACTATTATTATTTTAAATATTGTCAGTTCTCTGCTCACAGAGGAAAGAAAAATAGATTCCATGCAATATTCTGCACAAGTCTTCTAGGAAACAGATGTTTTATCATACCTCTGTGGAAAGGCTGTGACCTATGTCGCAAATACACCTCCAAGTGCCTTACCTCACCTTGCCTTCTCACAGCTGTACTTCCATATCCAGATTCTTACTTTGTGATAGGAAAAGAAAGGTTGATTTCTCCGTTGATTTATTTTTTCAATCGTACATTTGTTTTGCTTTCATAGAGATAAGTTAAAAACTGTGCTTGTTGTAGGCATACAGCAGTCTGTAGTCTAGGGATAACCTTTGTGACTTCTCAGCTATCCAGATGCTGTCAGACAGAGCAAAACGGAAGGGAATAGAACATTTTGTGCTGTTCAGACTTACTACATGCTCTACTGTTGCTTTCACTTTCTTTCTACAACTACCCTAATTCTCCTGAGGAGCTCTTCATTCTCAAAGGTTATGCTTTCTATATGTCAGTAGTGTCATTTCCTTGTTATCTAGTATCAAGGAAATTACTAGTATGTCTTAGCATACAGTAGGGAGGGCTACAAGCTGTTTGTAGAACATTGCCAATGAAAATATTTAAAGCTGTGAGGATAGATAGAATGTAACCCAGCTGTCATTTACAGCTTTTCTAATATTTCTGAAAAGGGAAATATCTCTTGAGAATAACTAATCCTTTACAAATATCTCTTTAAAAACAAACAAGTGCTATAGGCGTCCTTCTAAAGAGTCTTACATAAAGAATGTTAAGAAAACACATCTTGCAGAGAAGCACGGAGCTGAAATTCAATAGAACATTATGTTTTGAGGAAGCTGTAGTGACAGCTACTTGCTCAATGCTCTTTGTATCACTGCTCATAAGAGCACTTACACCTGTGCTTCGGTTTTGTACACTGTTGTGCCTCTTTTCCTTCAGCTGTCTTTCTTGAGAGGTTGGCTTGTATGCTTGACCCTAGTTACAATTCCCATGTAGAAATTTTCCAATGCTTTGTATAGAAGCTGTGTTGTTGGCTGGCTGTTCTGGCTGTTCTGTGTTTGTAGCTGGGTTGTGCTGTCCAGACTGCAGCAGCTTGTGTTATCTTTCTTCCATAACTCTTTCTCTCTGAGTTGCATCTGTGGGATTCAGACAGTTTATGGCTTATCAGAGAGGAGGTTCTGCTGTGTTTTCATGGTATCTAATTGCAAAAAGAAGAAGTCGGAGCTGACTGCAGAACTAGCACAAACCTTCAAAAGTGGTCAAACTACTATTATTGTACTACTGCAGTATTAGTGCTACAGTACTATTATACATTACTATTCTACTATTATCGTTGTGAAGTGCTACTGTACTATTATTATTCCCCACAGACTTACGTCACTGAGTGAAGGGTAATGGCTGTTCTGAAATAATGTCAGTCAATATGTTCCAGCTCCCACAGCTAAGTCAACAGCCCCTGGCTGTGGCTCTCTTTAAGAAAGATGTAGTTGATGAAAATGCAGCAAGAAAAGGGAAATTATATTAACAGAGCTATCAAACTTAATATGTTTCTAAGATGTATGGTTACAAACTGTGGTTCTTGTTGATGTGCTTTCTTGTTAAGAATGGCAAGCGTTGACAAAGTGAATTCCCAGTAGGTAGGCCTACTTTCATGTTTAAATGATTCCTCCTTTTCTTGTAGGATAGAAAAATGTTTTCCTGGGTCCCATCTGCATTAGCTGTTGATTGTGTTTCTTGGCTTTTATTCCTCCCTTCCCCCTACCACAGGACAATTATAAACTAGAAGAAAAAACAGACCAAAATTATTCTCAGTGTCATGCCAGAAAGCTTGACTTCAGCATGGTTCTCTGGAAATGCTGAGCATTTTCCTGAGCTCTCCCTAGAGGGCTGGAGGTCACTACAGCCCAAGTTTGAAGCTGTGGTCTAAAAGCATATTAGCAGTTGTGGATTCTGGGGATGCCACCTGTCCTCTCCAGCTGCTCTCATGCTGGAGTGCACTTCCCTCTCTGCTGGATGGGAGCATTGGTTGAGCTTCAGCCGAATGAACAAACCTTACAGAAAGAGGTGTTGCTTGCAACCCTGATATTTTCCTTATCGTGTTCACAGAGCCACCTGGGTGAGAAAAACCTTGGCTCATGATGAGATTGAGATGGAGCCAAAGGCAGTCTCAGAGCACAAAATACGTGCACCTACATGTAGCTGTGACTCCAGGAGTGTAAGTCTGAAGGGGAAGTGCACTGTGAAGGTTGTTGGGCAGTGGGTGGTAGGTGCAGAGGCACTCCTGGTGTTGCAGGCCTGCTTCAAACTCTAAATGTTAATATTTCGTTCTCCTTAAAAGGATTCATTGTTTCACTTTTTCCTTTCTGATGGGTAAACACCAGAGAGAAGTGGGAGTGAGGGGCCTTGATGTGCCCTGTGTTTTGTATGGCTCACCCTCATTTCTGGTTTTGCGTTTGCTTCATAATTAACATATTCTAATCTAGAGTGAAGATGACTTGATGTTTAGTGATGGCTAGTGAAACTCAGCATGCTTTTGCTGCCTGTTTAAGGGAATTGTAGAGATCTTTAAAAACTCGAGCAACAATTAATGGCAGAAAGTGATTGTGCCACCACTTGTGGAGGGTTGTATTTCAAGCTGACAGTGAAGGCAACAACAAAAATAGCACAGAAAGGAGCCATCATCATGAGGCTCCCAGGTGCACCTGTTAACCCTGCCTCTAAACTGTGTCACACATCCTAGAAGGCAGTAGTGAAATACAGAGGTTACATTTTGAGGCATTGCAAAATCGTGGTCTTTCTTCCTATACAAGCAAAGCACATGTTTGACAGCCCTGGAGGGAAGATGTGGCACCTTCATTTCACACACACAATTGCTAGATAGAGCTGACTTGTTATTTTCATTGCAGAGATGTTGTTGACGTATGGCTGCCAAAAAAGCACTGCATTTTAGCGTCGTTATGGTCCGTGCTGTCCCAAGGCAGAAGGGTCCGGGAGTGTTTTCTGAAAACGTCAGGCTTTATTTTCTTCAGCTCGTGGTCATTGAGGAGCGCAGGGTATGTTTTGATGAATGCACACATGCTGTGTTTGCCCTTCTGTGAAATACAGCTCCCCAGAAGATGCCCACAGCTCCCTCCAGCTGGACATCATCATGGGCTATTTTTAGCTGGCTTTGGTTTTACTTTCAGATAAACAGATCTTGGAAGCCACTCCTCCCTTCTCACAAGCCAAACTGCTTTTCTGCTTAGCGCTGAGGAATGGTGCAGGTGATGGATGTGAAGGTGTGTGCTACTGGCTGTGGATTCTGTGCTGGTTCCAGAGGGCTCCAGGCACTGGGAAGGAGATGAGCATCTGCAGGGAACAGCTGGTAGAGCCCCTGGGGACGTGAGAGGGATGTGAGAAATGTCTCTACCTTGCCGTTCTGAGCAAGGCTCCTTCCTTGTAGCGGTGGTGTCAGCAGTTTCTTCCCTCCTGAAAAGCATCACTTTTTCACAAAGGCAGCTTTTTTTTTTTTCACCCCCAGGTGGAATTTGCTGCTGCTATCTTAGAGGTTATTTCCTTGCTTTTTGTGTAACTAGTTCATTCAGATAGGCTTGAAATTTGTCTTAGAGGCTTGTTAGCCGCAACACAGGATGCATCCTGTGCACTCACTTACAGATTGAAGTCTGAAGATTATATGTAGTGTTTCTTTGACTTGTCTCAGAGTGTTCATGTATTTGAAAGAGTCCTAGGAAGAAAAGCTTATAATATGCTAGTTGCATCTGAGTGCTTCTTCCTTGACAGCTAAATAGAAATGCACTTGCATTTTTAGTGCAGTCATTTGCATTTTTCAACTCTGACCCTAGTTCTGATAGGTGAGAAGTGGCACTGAGTGTTCCATACAGGATAGTTGGTACTGGAAGGGCTTCTGTGGCCTAGCTGCATCTGCTTTGTAAAAAAGTGCTTGTACTTCTTGCATGTTTGAAGAAGGAATAGTGCATTTTAGCTGCACTGACATTTGGACTAGATGATCTTATTGGTATTTTGCAACCTTAGTGATTCTGTGTTTCTGTGTCACTGTCACTCAGAAAAGAACTTTGCTCCTGCACAGACTGGGGCTTTGCAGGAGTGTTCCACCATTGCTGGGCTGTAGGGTTGTCTGCTTTCTTATATGTGAAGTGAACTTGAAAGCAAGCTGAGCAATTGCAAGTATTTTCTAAGCTATTTTAGACCTTTTTGCTCACTGGAAACATATCAGTGCCTTATTGTTGTGCTCAGGTTTTAATTCCTTGTTAGTTTCAGGAAATACATGTCCTCAGATCAATGAGAGGAAACTTTGAACATTTTTCTTCCTCTTGTGCTGGGTGTGGGCTTGGTGCTGCCTGATTGTTAGTCTGTCTGTTGCCCGTAATCCCATAGGAGAAAAGAACAAACACATTTACATTTGTGTCATTGCTGTGTGCTTTCAGATGTGTAGCCTAGTCCTTTTGTTTTTCTCTTTCTTTTTTTTTTTTTTTTTAAAGATCAAAGGTGACAAGAATAGCAGAGCAGAGAAGTTAAAAATGATGCAGAGAATGCAGTTGTGAAGAACAAAGGAGAGAGGAAGGAGCTGAGCCTGGTGTAGTGGGGGAGAGAAGAAGAAGCCTAAATGCAAGTACTTAAATGTGGAAATGATTGATTGCAGGCTGGTTAGCAGGAGTTTTATGCAGTGCTTTAATCTGCATCTGGTGCTGCTTGGCACTTTGAGATAGGTTAATGTTTTTAAAATTATTTGTCCTAGCTTCAAGACTTTGTACTCTTCTGTCAATAATTTACCATTCTAAATGGGGAAGTGCATCAGGGTCACGTGTGCTTGTGTGTGTGTGAGAGAGAGACAAAGAAGACGGTTGGAGCCTTAGCTGAGTAACATAACATGTCCTGGTATGTCCCCCCCTGGAGGGGGCTGCAGAGTGCTCCCTTCCTAGCTAAGCACTACTGAAACTTTTTTTTAAGAAAAAATCAGTGACTGAGTTGATTAGATAAATCTGGAGGGAAAGGGTCGTAGTGTGCAACCAGAGCCAAGCTGTCTAATGAAGTACTGTGATGAAAAATACAGCTTTTGCTATCTTAATCAAGTTTGTGCAACAGAAGCAGCCATTTGAAAACATTCTAGTTAGTAGATATATAATTGTAGCTAGTACAGAGATGTTTCCTGTGTGGCTTTGTTTGCTGATTTTGTTGTTTTCTCTTGTTGGCAAAAAATGTATTCAGCAAATGCAGGTACATAGGCCAATGAAAGAGATCTCTGCAGGAGGACAACTGATTTTCTTTGTGGTATCCTGCCTGTGTCATTAGAAGAGCTGTTGCCATTGGCATGTGTCTTCAGGTGATGGGTTTACTAATGTAGATGTACCACAAGACTGACCACTTTCTGCTGTGGAGAAAGTCTTATCATCTCATTTGCTCTTAAGGGAGTCTCCTACACAGATCCCAAGCCAGTATTATGATTGTTAAGTGCCTGCAAATTGCTAATAAGTAGGTCTGTATGTATTTTGTGCTGAGTGCTGCCAGGAAAACAAGTAACATTGTCCCTTGTTCCCTTCAGCTCCTTCCAGCGCAGGTAACAATGCCTGTCGAAAGAATGCGGATGCGCCCATGGCTGGAAGAACAAATAAATTCTAACACAATACCAGGGCTGAAATGGCTAAATAAGGTAAGGGGTGTGTTTGTGCAAGCACGCCTGCACGCGTATGTGAATGAGGTCCTTCATAGCAGTGTACACTGGTGTTCTTAGTCTTCAAAAGGGCAACACAAGGAGGAAGGGCAACGCTGAATGCTTCCTGCTGAACCTGTTCTTCTGGCCTTACAGTTCCAGATCTGAAGCTCTTTGCATTTGCCTGTCTGATTTGTGACTTGTTTATAAGCATTTTCCCTCTTCTGACCCTTTGTTGGTGAAAAAAAAATGTAGACTCTGTTAAGTTTTTTAGCTGGAACAAATTGCTTACCAAATAGTGTCAGAGGGATTTTGAACAAAATGCTCATCTGAGGTGGAATGTTATGTTCTGCGTTAACCTCTGAGTTGAAGTGATGATCTCTTTCAGACTTATATGAAATCTCTGATACTTCTTAAAGCAGTGAATCTGAGAAAAAAATCAGGTAATTTTTCCTATGCCAGACCCAACTTACTATTCCTTGTCCAGAACTCATAGTGAGACAGATCAGAATCCAGTTGCATTTTTTTAATTGATTCAGTAAAACAGTGCATTTGAGACTTTGAGCTGTAATAAACCCCAGAGTTATGCAATGCAGAAGAGTTATTCACCATGCTGAAAGGAATTGCTCAGTTTTAGCAACAAAAACCACTTTATTATCAAAATGAATACGGTGGAAATGCTGTAAAGTAGATGCAGAAATATGGAAGCTGCCATCCTGTTTAAGGCAGTTAGTTTAGTATCCTCTCCATGGTAGTTGTTGTGGCGCTCAGATGTTCATTTTTAAGACTGGAGAATGACAGCTAAGACTAATATTTTTTTATTTCAGTTTACAAAGTTAAAAATACTTCGAACTACACAATTAACAACAGCCCTGTCAACTTCAGCTTGCAAATTTTGTTTCTCAGGAACACCTGCATTAGTTACTCTCACATGCTGTGGCTGGGTAAATAAATATTTATTTATCCATTCCCAAATTAGCTGCTCTGTGCATTTGAGTAGGTCCTTATTCTTGCATAATGGGGTCATAGTTGCACAGGAGGAATAGAACAGATTTTATTGTTGTCTTCATAATTTAAATACCACATTCAAAATTCTTCTCCTTTACTGTCTCTACTTCTGTCAGGTCTCTCCTACTGACAGTCCATCTCTGCTGTCCTTTCTTGAGTGCTTCTGTTTGATTCCAAAATCATTTCTCTGTGCTTAGCAGTAGGATAAGTATTTCAAATTTTAGCATCTTATGGTTAAATATAGTGTTGTTGTCTGTAGGTTATGTTCCTTTCTCTGTACTCTGGAAACGTACTTGCTCTGCAGTGTGAAAACACTGTTCCTATACAAAGGGATTAGTTCTTCAAGTTTAGTGTACTAGCCTATAAAGGCATGTTGCAAGGCATGTCAGGTTGTTTAATGTTTGCAGCTCTGATCCTGTCGTTACAGCAGCTTCTGTCTTGTGCTTCTGGCATAAACTGTTTGCATGCAAAATTTTGTCCTTAGCTAGCATATTCTATATTGACCAAAGCTCACAAATAAAGTATTTTGAAATCTTTTCCTAAAGCAAAGCTCTAGCTCCTGTCAACACCAGGACACCAGGCTAAATGGCCTGCACTGACCTTTATTAGATTCTGATTCTCCATTTCTATATTCAGATTTGGCATCATCTTGAGCTGCTTTTCATGGAATCATGGAATCACTGAGGTTGGAAAAGACCTCCAAGATGACCCAGTCCAACTGTCCACCTACCACCAATATTTTTCCTCCAAACTGTGTCCCTTAGTACAACAGCTAAACATTTCTTGAACTCCACCACTTCCCTGGGCAGCCCATTCCAGCACCAGACCATTCTTTTGGAGAATCATTTCCGAAGATACTGAACAGGACAGGCCCCAATACCGACCCCTGGGGAACACTTGTGGCCAGTTGCCAGCTGGATTTATCTCCATTCACCACTATTCTCTGGGCACAGCCACGCAGCCAGTTCTTTACCCAGATCGACAAGCTAATAGCACTTCTGAGTGTTTCTGTTTAAAAATGCTTAGAAATTAATTCCAGCAATTAATTGTTAAACCAAAAAAATTTATATTTTTTACTGTAAATCCTGACCATAAACAAAGCTATTCATGGAATCTTTGATAAAATGTCATATGTATTGAAGCATGTTATGTATGCACAGAATTGACTCTGGAAATTATAGGATTTCAGAATTTGTATTTTTTAATTAGAGGTTGGGAAAGTATGATTCACATTAAAGAAAAGAAGATGGGGCAGATTAGCAAGAGAATGGCATGTGTATGTGTGCACAGGTTTTAAGGAAATAAGATTTAAATACTGAAGAAGTGAGTATCAATCTAAGTTTGTCATTGGTTGTCTTTTCTTGGGGAATTGAGAGGAATTAAGCCTTTCAGTTAACAGTGATAAGTCAGGTTACAGCCAATGTACCTCTTTCCTTCCCCTACTCTCAGTCAGTCACACTACACCTCCTGCTTTGCTCTGCACTGCATTGTTGATGTTTTTTTTTTCCTCCAGATTACACTCCTTCCTCTAAAGGGCTTAAATAATAAACCCTTATCTTCCTCCTCAGTGAAAATATTTTCCTGCTAAACAGCAGAAGGGAGGAAGGGAATTTCTTTACCATCCCAGGGAGACAAAACTGGAAGGCATTAGAGAAGTTACATAGTTCAGCAGAGGGCAGAGGTGATGTGAGGAGGAGGATAATGTGAGGTCAGCATCCCTCATGGGTCTGGAAAAGGAAATTAGAATGGAAACATGCAAAGTAGCTGTAACAGGAGCTGAAAAGCAAGCCGCTGCTTTGATGGTTGCTTGGAGTATTACCATTCAGATGGAGGTCACTATTTAAAATTTGCCATATGACTTCCTAACTACTCTGATCTCATGCTCATTCACCTGCTTGGAGCATTTTGCAGTTAGAGTTTCAAGTTTTCAATACTATTTTCCTCTTCCTGCTTATTTCTAAGAATATGATACCTCTTTCCCTTTTGATATCCCCATTGGATAGTGGTAGCAATGGCCATTATGCAGCAGCAGTTTTGTGGGTTGTGCTTTTGACTTTGATGAGCCTAATTTTATGCACAAACACAGGACTCCTACAAAAATTCCATGGTGATGAAGTGCTATGCAAAATAGTACTCCATTTTCCAAGTCTAAGAAAAGGCAGTGATGAGCCCTTGCCTATTAGTCATTATTAATGAAGAAGGAATGAAGAAGGATATGGGAAAATGTTTGATAATGAATGAAATAAAAAAATAGTATTTAAATAGGAAGAATCTAGGTAAACTAGAGCAGAACAACCATTTATTCTGTGGAACTTGTAGCCACTTGAGATTGTTACAATCAGCAGTATTGAGGGATCTCAGAGAAGACTAGATATATACATAGTTGATGAGAAAATGTTTTTGGACATAAAATTAGGTATATTTTGAAGTGATGATACAGGTAGATTAAATATATATATATTTATTGATACTACAATTTCTTGTAAGTCCTTGTGCTTCAAGACATGGTATTAGGAAGGATTTTCTGTAATGAACACTTAGACTGCTATTGGGAAAGTCTTCACACCTTCATTTGAAGCATTGAGTACTGTTGACAATGACATGGTGCTATATCTATAATCTTATTCAGTATGCAAGTTCCTAAATAAGTTTTGGAATTTTCAGGCAGCATATGAAATCAGTGGTATAACCTCAGTAGCACTGTGTAGCATTATTCAAACTTCTTCCTGTCACCAAACATGAGAAGACTTTTTAGTCTGGTCATTTGGTCATTTCTTACAATTCTTGTTGGTAATTTTTCTTTTTGTTGTTATTGCTTTTTTTTTTTTTAATGGACATCTTTTTTTTTTCTTTTTTTTCCCCCATACTGATTGTCATCTTTAGGACAGATAAGACAATAGAGCTTATTCTACCTCCAGTGAATACAGTAGTGGTGTAGACTGCAGGACGATGGAATTGAAGCTTTCATTATACCTCTTCTACTTGGGAGAGAGGGGAGCACCTCTGTAGGGTGATTTAACTATATATAAGGGAAAGAGTAAGATGGCAAAAGGCACATGAGATAAATAACAAGAATGCATGAAAGGGATTATAGAATCACCAAGGTTGGAAAAGACATACAAAATCATCCAGTCTAACCATCCACCTATCACCAATAGTTCTCACCACACCATATTCCTCAACACAACATCTAAAGGTTCCTTGAAGACCTCCAGGGTTGGTGAATCCACCACCTTCCTGGGCAGCCCATTCCAGCACCTGACCAGTCCTTCAGAGAAGGAGTATTTCATAACAATGAGTGAGTTTATGAGAATTTGAAGGAGAACAGAGATTGTGTTAAATCTGCAATTACTAAAAGGAAAAGATTAAGAGAAGCAAGAGAGAAGAATGCAATTCTGAACAAGTGAATTTAAATGAAAGGATTGAAGAGGTGAAAGTTGTCAAAAAAAAAACATGCTCAAGAAAGCAAAGATCATAGAAAAAGGAAGAGAAGTAAACCTAACCTTGACATTAGTGAAATATTAACCAGACAGACAAGGAGAAAGTGTTATTGCTAGGAGAAGGGCAAAGGATTCTTCTCCCCTGACTTTAGACATCTACAATGCAGTTGCTTAAATGAGGGATGCCTGTCTACAGTTGTTTGCAGTTAATGGAAGGAAATAAGCATTTTTGGGGTGTAATTGACTTGGTGAGTTGAGGTAAATTGTCCCCTGAAAATGCCTTTCTCTTCACTGGTTGTGAAGGGAATCTAAACCTGCAGAGGTTGCACTTAAGTGCAATATGTCGGTGTTTGAAGCCAGGTTAAGATGCATCTTCTGCAAGGGCAGGATTTTGTTTGTGGAACATAACCTTTTTGCATGGCTTTGCAGAAATGAGCATAAAGTGTTCTTATGCTGTGTTGTATGACATGAAAGCACAACTGGCCCATGAAATCATCCATCCAGCCCAGTGTCCAATCTGTGATGATGGCATGGGCCTAAATGCTAATGGAAAGGGTATCTGAAATATGTCAGGAGGGATTTAATTGTTTCTGTTCCTGTTTCAGCACTGTTCAAGCGCTGAAAGCCATTGAGCTTCCAGAGTTGGAGCTGCATCCAAATTCGTTATCCTTAAGAGCCCCCAAAGTACATTCTCCCACAGGTTTTTCTGTCAAATCTGTCATCCTTAGTCATGACTTAGTAGTGTACTGTCTTCCATGAGTTTTTTCTGTTCCCTTTGCGAGTCCATATATACTTCCGCTATATAAGGCGTGCCCTGGTTTAACTCTGTGCTTTGTAAACAAAGCACAAACAAGCCTTCTTTTGATTGCTTTAAATCTGCTTCTCTTTGGATCAAATTTTCTAAACTAAAAAGTTCAACTACCTTTAAACCCACCCCTGCACATGGATGTTCCAATTTTTTTTTGTCCCCAGTGCAGAGATGTCTTCCTTTGTTATATGCCGTGTTTGCCTGGCTTGTACATTTTAAATATCCTTTTCTTTCATCGTGTTAGTGTTTTACTCACTGAATTCTAATCCCTTGAATTATCTCTTATGGTTCTTATGGTTGTTTATTTTTATATCTGCTTTTTCTAATCATGAGAGTGTCAATGCTGCCAAAACTAGCCATTGTTTGAATGTTTAGAAATGTTTAGCGCTGCATGTTTTATCTGTGTGTCAGCTTGGAAAGCTGCCAGCCTCATAGTCTGTGAAGGGGCATCTGAGTATCTTGTGTACTTGGGACTGTATTCTGCTTTCATTGACGCCAGAGGATATTTTCCTATTGAGCCCAGTGACAGCAGCACTGTGTCAGAAGAAAGCAAAACGCTTGCAGATGCTGGAGCTGCATTTTTAAATAAGTGACTTAAAGTCATCAGAAAATCCATCAAGTCGATCAGCATTGGCATTTCCTGTTTGTTTTCCCTTCCAGGAGAAGAAGATTTTTCAGATTCCCTGGATGCATGCTGCAAGACATGGGTGGGATGTTGAAAAAGATGCTCCCTTATTTAGAAACTGGGCAATTCACACAGGTATTGGAACTCTCTTTTTGCAGGACAGATTTTCACTTGGTTTTCCCTTTTAAATCTATATTTTCCTTCTTTCATGTCTTTGTTTTTACTAACACAGAGATTGAATTGAAGTTTCCAGATCTTTGGGAGGTTAAATGCTTTTTTCAAGGTCTGCAGTAATCTCCAGCTTTATTGAATGGCTGTAACTCATTTGCATTGAGAAGCACAGTAAAACTTAATTGATTTAAATGTTAACAAGATCAGGTTCAAAATCATTTGGAGTAGAGCATGCTCAGCACTTTGTAGGCTTGGTCCCTTGGGCTTCTTATATGCTTATATGGATTTGAGCCAGACTTAATAAAGGTAAATGCTGCGCAAGCTTTTCCATGTTGTTGTAAAGTTGCATCTGATCTGCAGTGCCCTAGGTCTTTCTTGGGCAGAAGCTGTTAATCATGTTCTGGAAACATGCATGAGAATCAGATCACAACATTCACTTTCTCTTGCAACCTCACCTGTTGTTCGAATGCTTGTCTTGACAACCAAAGGCTGATACCTTGAAGTTCACCTACGCTGTTACTAGTTTATCTTAGGTTTTCAGTTACGCATTGTATATGCTTAACTCTCTTTTCTTGCTTAGGAAAATACCAGTCAGGAGTAGATAAACCCGACCCAAAGACATGGAAGGCAAACTTCCGGTGTGCTATGAACTCTCTGCCTGATATAGAAGAAGTGAAGGACAAAAGTATAAAGAAAGGAAACAATGCCTTCAGGGTGTATCGGATGCTGCCGTTATCTGAAAGACCTTCCAAAAAAGGTAGACGAGAGAGCTTGTGAGTGTGAAGTTGGTGTTGGCTGCATTGTTATTATGGGGCCTGCATAGTGTGCCAGTTTTACTTCTCCTACTGTAAAGTCAGACTTTCTCATCCAGCTGTTCCCTGGAATTTAGGAACGTCTCTGTGAAAAATGGGCTGTATTCAATTAAGGGAACGATCTGCTTTGAGAGAGATCAGCGAGATAGGGTACTGGGCTGCTTGAATGGTGATAGTTCTGTTAAAGCCAACAGAGCTGTATTCGGATGCTAATTGCAGGTACGGTGCTTGTTTGAATTTTGGAACTGCCAAGTAGCTGCTGCCAAATGGCTGAAGTTTCATTTGAGGCAGTGATACAGCATAAACAGCTGAAGATTTGCAGAGTTATGAACACCCCTAGCTTGAATCAGGAATAATCTTTCCTGCAGGAGGTGTTAATATCAGTGCTGAACTAAAACATGGGTTGAGGAAACTGAGAATACCACAAAGGAGCACCCCTATATATTTATTATCTGTGGCACTGGTTTCAAAATCAGTCTGTGTGAGGTGTCTAGTGAATGAAAGCCGCACAAAGCCATATCTGCTTGTTTCCTATCTCTCATGAGATAAATGGGCCTCCTTCAGTCCGGGAGAGTGACTGGGACATATTAGAGATTGATACATTTCATACAGTAAAGCTCATTGAGAATATGGTAACAGACATTTTGCTATCTTTTTGCAAGCAAAGATAGAAATAAACTCGCACTCTTTTCATCTGTGTAGGGAGCGTATGCTCTTAAGTGTAGCTGTAGCCTGCACTAAAAATCTGTTTTTGTAGGACATAGGAACTAAACTCAGCTGCCACTTGGAACTGGGAGTACAAACTCAGCATCTGGGTTTTCTATACAGGGAGCAAACTCACAAGTTTGGTATCCTGGGGAAACACCTTATTAAACCATAAGGGCACTTTTTTAGGTAGGTAACCTAGGCAATGAAAAAAGCAGGAAGAAGGCTGTGCTCTCTTCCCCCACAGCATGGTAGTGGTGAAGTGGGAAACTGTTTAAATTACCTAGATTTTGTATAGGTGATAGGTCTCCTACATGCCAGGAGAGGACCTAAACTCCAGGTCAGTCTAAGGAATACTTGGTTTCTTGTTGAACAGAAATATAAGCATTTTTTTAGCTTTGTTATCGGCTTATGGAGTAGAAAATGGGCTTCCTTATTCTTCTGATATCTTCTAGTGCCTAGAGGTATTAGTTGAAAAGATAACCTACCATCCAAATGTTGTACCTCTGCATGATGTTCCTCTAAAATCAAATTTGGTATAGCTCAATTTGCTGTTTTTTAAAATTGTGGCACATAAAGCTCGTCTTAATTTTAAGATATGAATGGAAATGAATAATTTTGGCATTTTGGGGGCAGAATCATAGTATGAAAAGAAGATCAATCTGGAAAAAGTAGAATATTTGCTTTGAAACTGTTTCCTATCTCTCATCTGTACGTGCAGGCATACATCCATGAACCATAATCTGACCCATTGTGGCAGATTCCTCTCATAGCTGTAAGAACCAGAACAGTTCATAATGAAAACAGATTCTGGAGCTCTATGTCATAGCAGGAGAAAATTCCATAGCAAATCCAGCTACTATATAACTGACATCTTTTGGCCCTTGTATATCTTCTCATTTGTCCTTTCTTCATGACGTGTGGCTAAATTTATGTATGAGTGAGGGCAAAAGAATTTGTCTGCAAACATTTTTAATTCTGAGCCCTATCTTGTAGTAGGGATGGGAGGAATTCCTGGGACGCGTCTGTGCAAAAAGCTGGTAGAGCAGAGCTTTCATCAGCAACTCTGAGCTTCTACATTAGGATCTCCTCAAGACAGAGCAGGGGCAGCAGCACTGAGGTCTTACAAGGCACAGGAGATTTGGTGAAGGCCGTATGCTCTAGGTTTTCTTCTGGATTCTCCAATCCAACATGAGTGCATAAATCACTCTGGCATAAATTATAATCTGTATTCCTCCCCCTATGTTGCAATTATTTACAAAAATGTGTGTTGAAATTTCCTGTGATCTCTTCTCATCTAACAGTCCCTGGTTCTTTGTCACTCTTTCATATTTTTCACCTTGTTTTCTTTGACTGAGATTGCTTTTTTTGGTCCTTCAAAAATGAAACTCGCAACCCTGTGCTCAAGGTGAATTTTGACTGCCCAGTCTTTAAAGTGGGTTTGAAACTAAGCAAAAGGAGTACTCCTTTTCCTACGAGGTGCTGCTATTTTGATCACATTTGAAGGCTCTTAGTGAATGTAGAAGTCGTGGAGGATCATAGATGGTATGGAGGGCTTTAAGAAATCTTCCTTTTGTTGTTGCAGGAAAAAAAACGAAGTCTGAGAAGGATGACAAGTTCAAACAAATTAAGGTAAGAAGTAACTGTTTGGTAGTTTGAAAGCCTGTGAAAATAATCTATTGCCATTGTTTTTTTTAATAGTCCCACTAGTGTCTTATGGTGGATATTTGCAAATATCCCATGCTTTTGGTTTGGTTAAGTAGCTGCAGTTACTTTGGTGTAGCTTTGTTTTCTTTTAAAATGTGAAGAGCCACGACTGACGTCATCAGTTGACACAGCCCTTGTGTGTTGCAATGCCTGGAGGTTGGAAAACTGGCAGCTTTGGCAATATGTTTGCCATTTGTCTGTGTAAGTAGAAATACAGTAATTATGGAAGCAGTGCTTGAGAACAATAGAAGTACCTTTTGGAGCAATTAGTTTTTTGTGTGCAGAAGGCATTGGAAATTCATTTTTGTTTAGGAAAGGGGGAGAAGTCTGTCAGAGCCTTGTGTTCTGCTCATGCTTTGTAAGACAGAAGAAAGTTGTAAAGCTCATCAGCCAGCATGGGACTTTTTCTTGTTGAGAACGTGGACCCAAGGTCACATGTACTTTCCCTGCAAAACATGGTATTTCCTATCATTTGCAGTTACACTGACGCCCCTCTGAGGTGGTCAGTGTAACATACTAGCAGGATTTGGTCCAACATCAGTGCTTTCATAAAGCAAACTGCAAAGTTTCCAGGCTTTCAGGCTTCACAGAAGTCTTTGTTCTTTCACTGAAACTGTGCTGTGCTGAAAGCACAGCCCATGGTAGCACGCAGCAGTGTCTGTAACAGAACAACAGCTCAGTGCTCTGCTGCTTGCTTGTTAAGGACTGTGGCTTTCATGTCTCAATGAAGCAGAGAGGTGGATACTGAGGGCTAGGAAAATTCCTTTATTAAAATTGGATTTGAAAAGCAAAAATCTCTTCTGGTGATGGTGACTTGTATAATTGCATGTCAGAATACTGCTTTATAAATTGTCTGTGATTTCAAATTATCTACGAGCTACCAATTTTTAACCATTATATGTGGATTATGCAGCCATGTGAGATTGTTATCACGTGACTGATTCCAAGGGGTCCAGTGAACTCCTTTGGTCAGAGTTGGGCAGCACTTGATGCCTTCCAAAGCTGGCTGCAGCACTTTGCTGGGCCCTTTCTTCATAACTTTTATTTTAGCCAAAATATTAAATACCTGAAGAACTGCAGAGTTACCTGCAGAATCTTTCCCTCTTCACTCAAATGAATCTCACAAATACTAGTTGCTGAGGGTATCACAGTGATGTCTGGGAGATTATTATGTACAGCAGGTGAGTTAATGCAAATGCACATTTTTAACACTAAAAGCTGCTTAAATTTCTTTGCTTGGTGATGTGAATTCTGATCTGCATGGTCTTTGTTAAAAGCCTTGCAGTTGTCTTGAAAACTTCTGTTTAGTGAAAATGGGTGGGTGGCTGCACCATGACCTGCCTGCTAACCTCTTTAGGGTAACACCGAGAGAGGGAGAAGCTAAGGGTCAGAGAAAAGGGACTTCAGTGTAACAGAGCCTCACATGGAGCTTCCCCATGTCGCTGCTGCCACACCTTGGGGGTGCTCAAGTTCCTAAGGTGACTGCTGATGTGAGTGAAGAGCGCTGTCAGATGCCGCTGGTGAGGCCTTGATTCCTGCCCGTGCCTGACTGGCGAGGCCGAACTTGAGCAGGATGCTCAGCCAGGACTCTTCCCTTCCTTGACCCTCCTGGGGATGTGAGAGCCTGCACCTAATCCCTAGTTAGGGGGAGCACGTCTCCTACCCTGCAGATGCATCTCCTGGTCACTTGGCTCTTGGGTAAATGGGAAAGAGGCCAGAAGTAGCTAAGTAGTCCAAGGAGACATGAATAGGCTCTTTTCTTTGAAACAGAGGTAAAGGTTGAACTGCCTGTGTGAGATGTAATTGCTACCTTATGGTAGATGCATAATTTTGACTATGTATGCAGCTGTCTGCTGCGGTAATTTTTAAGTGTGACACCTTTCCCATCCTTTCACTCAGCTTCCTCCAGACATTCAGACACTGAAAATGTCTGTAACACCAACTGTGCTGATTTTCACGTCCTTTTGTGGACCTGGCCCTATCACCCAGGTTTTAGGATATGCATTTGTTTCTGCTACTGAAAAGGGCAGCTAAATAAATGCTGCTGTAATGAAGCCACAGCAAAGCTGAGCAAGTTATGGTGCAAGCAGTGTTCCCATGGGGGCTGTTGTGTTTGCTGGGGCGTTGCACAGCACTGTGGCTCCAGTGCAGAGTCCTCACCTGTCTGCAGTCAGTGAGCCTGGATGGATCAATAGCAGCTAATTTTATCTTTTCCTGCTTTCTGGGTCTTCGACACCACCAGTGGGGTTCATCAAAGCCCTTGTGCCATTAGCACTGTAGCTGTCTTACGCTCCTCTGATGTGCAAAAAGGGGCCTGGGAACAGGCTGTGTGACTGCACTCTGGCCTTGCTGGAGGGCTGGGAAAGCACAGATGTGTGTCCAAAGGACATCTCTTAATGAGTGGATCCCAGTCACTGCATGTGGCATCTAAAAACTGCATGTCAACCTGTCCCTTCCCTTCATAAAGCTAGTGCTGTGGAGGGTAGCACTATGAGTCCTGAGGCTCGCCTTTGCCCTGCACTTACTGTTTTGGAGCAGTGAATATGAGCATTCCAAGGCAACAGATCAAACCAGCAGTTCTGCACCTCTCTGCAGATGCCATCAGTGCAACAGTGATGCAGAACTTGGTTTTCAGTGGCAGCACTGCCTACTCAGAATGAGAACTGAAGGCTTTAGACTTTCTATCTGATAACCTTGTATGGGTGCCAATACCAGGGAGAAGGCTGGACATGTAGTTAGTTGTTTAAAAGTGTTTATAGCTTTTGTAAGAAATCCTGAGTCTGAAGGGAGATTTTTCGATTCCGTTTTGAATACACCAGACCTACAGAGTATGCATCTTGTGGGCAGCTCAGTATATATAGAGCAGCTGGTGGTTTCCCAATGCTGTTGTCCTACAGTAATGTTTATGGTGTGATCTAAAGGGCTGTATTTGATGTAAACACTTTGTTTTGCTGCAGAGAAAAATTAAGGCTAGAATTTAGTAATTGTTAAACTGAAGCTAGGGCTTCCTTTCAGAGAGTGCTGAGAGAGCATGTTTGGAAGAGAATGAGGATGAAAATGAAATAGAATACATTTGAAAGCAATGTTTCTTCCTTGTTTGTTCTAAGTGTCGATCTCCTGTAATAAATAGCACACTAAATTCTTGCTCCCAGAAGACTCACTCTAAATCCGAAAATTAAAAATAGCTGGAGTTTCAAAGCTGACGATTTGGAAGTAAATTCTGGCTGTTTCTCACAGAACCAAATTACTTGTTCTTATACTTTGTCTAACAGGGAACAGTGGGAATGGGGCAGGCAGAAGCAATCTGATTTATTACCATCTCTGAACAATGAGATGAACTTAGTCCAGGCTCCTAAAATAAATCAAACCTGACCCAACTGTACTGTTTTCATTCTAGCAAGAGCCAGTTGAATCATCTTTTGGGATTAATGGGCTAAATGATGTTACTTCTGACTATTTCCTGTCCTCCAGTATAAAAAATGAAGTTGACAGTACAGTGAACATTGTAGGTAAGTACTCCTGTGCTTTTCATATATGCTAAGCATACAGGTGAATTAAAAGACAAATACATGAAATAGGTAATGCCAGAAAAAAAAAAAAAAAAGAAAACTTCTGACTGTTTCAAACTCACCTTTCCGCAGCACTGTGCACTTCAGAGAAGATCCCAGGTATAATTGTGTCTATGTATTTTTTGCTAACCTAAGCTGCACAAGATCCTGCCTGCAGGTCTGCCCCACCACTCTGCAGTGATGGCGAGCAGCGCTACTGCAGCATGGCTGTTTCTCTGAGGGCAAAGCACGTAGGAATTTTTTCAGGTGGCTTTCCCTGACATCAGCTTTCTGCACAGTATAGCTCTCTGCTGTAAGGAAATGCTACTCAGTGTCCATGGGAGGTTATGCTGAAGCTGGCAGATGATTTCCCTTTCCTCAAAAACCAGTTTTATACAGGATTGCATTTTGTTTGTGAGTTTAAACAAAAAGATAAATAGAAGAACTTGTTTGGTTGTTTTTTTTTTAACGTTGGGTTAATTCTTAGCGTTACAGAGCTAAGAAGAAAGATCAGTGAAGCCTGTATTTAGAAACAGGTGCATTAGGAATTAGATGTCATCTCAGAATGTGAATGATTGGCCCTTGGTAGAATAACTGGGCTGGTTTTGACAGCTCTTTTGGGGCTGAGGTTGTCACTGCAATGAGGGCTCCTAGAAATGTGACCCATATACTATTTTCTCTGGAGTTCTACTTCTACGTATGAGAAAAAAGTGCTTGAAAAATATATTGATCTTGTTTTTGTGAAGATGGCAGTAATTGCACGCACTGACTATTCTTTTCTACCATTTTTTTTACGTCACAGGGCTCTGTGTTAAGCCATTCCCACAAACACTTCCATGGTTGAGGAGTTCATGAGTGTGGTTTTTTTTCTTTTCATGACAGTTTATTTAATCAGTTCTTTCTTTGTAAGAATTTTAGGACGTGAATTTGTTCATACTGTTACAGAGAGCTTTATAACTGAAGGAATTACACTAAAATGAATTACATATACTGACTGACTCAAATCCATATCTGAAATACAGCAAGGCTGATATGCAGCTCTGAGGAAGAAGCTTCCTACACTTCAGTTTTTATTGTAAAACCTTCAAGTTAAACAGAAATCAGTTAACAGCAGCCTTTGCAGTGTACCTGGTGTTCCCAAAATCCACAAACATACAAGAGAGTCATTTTACTGGAACAGCTCATTTTTCTGCAGTGCAGTGTATCCTGAACTCCTGTTTGATTTCAGTAGGAGATGAATCCATGTTGCACCTTGGAAGATCTCAGTCATTTACAGAACAGGACCCATGGGGGGATATAAGAATTGTCGAAAGGTCTAAAATGGAAAGCAAGAGAGGAGCAGAACTGAATGGCCTCCTTTGCGCTCACAAGGGAGGTCTCCAGTTAGCCGTTTGTTTTCTCCCTTTGCTCTTATGGATAGGCCCAGTATCCATTTTCAGGGGTATGACAGCAAGGTTTGGGTGGATAACTGTGATCCAACATTGTTTAATTAATGGCTAGGCAAATGTGCTGCTTATCCAAACTGAAGAGAGAAGTCCTTATTTAGTACTCCAAGCCAGTATTTAATATAAACAGGGGAGAAAGGGTAAAATAGATATATTCTGCAGAAAGGACAGAAGTCAGCTGGAGGGGAGAAAAGACAAACAGCACCTGCACTGTTTCTGATGTACGTGCAGCTCAAAGGAGAGTGGTGGCATACTGCCCAAATGAACAGTATGTTTTGCTGCATTAAACTTATCTCTTGGAGTGGGTAAGAATTCTCCAGGTATTGAGGAGAAAGATAAAACACTGCAGATGGCCTGCTCTTATCCTGAAAAGGTTGCACAATACTGGCTTCTTGTGCATAAAAATTAACTCTGTGTGTGTGTGCTCCTGACCCCCAGCACCCCAACGTAAAGCAGATGTTTTCAAAACAAAATATCTATCTGGAACAAAATGGTAATAATTGTAGTGATCCAACTGAAAAAAAAAAGGCTTTCAGATATGTATATCATCTTTTGTATGTTGGAATTGTCTCATAGACTGCACAACCAGGTTCAGGGAGTTTGTAGTAGTTGGCTGGCACTTCACTAAGCTTTTCCCTGGGAGAAAACCCTGTCACTTTTCTTTTTGAAAATGTTGTGCTCTAACCTTGCCCAAAAGATAGAAGACAGGAGTGGATTGTGCATTCATGCATATTTATTTGAGTTCATCCAAGAAAAGACACATCTGTCCTTCATAAATTAATAATCAGAGTGCTTAGGTCACTTAACTGAAGAATTTCAAGATGTGCTGTGCTTCATTTACTACATTTTTCTTCATAGTGGGTTCTGGTAAAAAAAAAAAAAAAAAAAAAGGCAAAAAGAAAAGCTGTCTGAATTTCTAATAAATCAGTACCATAAGCTTGGTGAATTAACTGTGACTGTTCCTTGAAACATCCAGTATTGGCCACTTATGGAATGACATTGCCAAGTGGGATGGGCTGCTGGTGCAAGGTCATAACTTGCTGCGTAAAACTTCAAATAAGCAATTATTGCTGTATAGGTGTTTAACAACAGTTCACAGCATTCAAATAAATCTGGACCAGTTCCTCTGGCATAAAATCTTCCCAAACTATTATTGAAATTGGTAGGAATTTGCCTGTGTGAAAATTGTTCCTTTTGATGCGTTATGGTGCAATGAAAGAATATGGATAGTCTTTCCCTTTCTCTCAGACAGCTGTGGATTCAGGTTAGCCATTCCCTGAGGTGGCTCCACACCTGCTTGCTGTTCTGATCTGGCTAGTGGCTTTTAGCTCAGTGCCAGATTAATGCAGTTGTCATGCGTTCATGTTGTTGGGACCAAAAGGGGAGTTATACAAGATGGGGAATTGTCTATAGCAGCTCCAGAGAACTGAGATTTTGGCTTTTACCTCTGTACTTCTTTGCTGAGTAACTTCTAAGTTTATTCCTCCATTCCAGAAGGGTGTTCTGTAGCACAGCTGGTGCCTGCAGAGCGCTTTGAGGTGCTTGCAAAGCATCCATGGTACCTTTACTTTGTAGAAATAAAAATGTTACTTTAGAATTAAATATTACTTTCCTGGGGGGGGATAGGAAAAACATGTCAATAACTAGACAGTAGCTGTCAGTCATGGACCACGGGGACTACAGATTATAGGTTCAGCTGTGATTTTCTACATGCCATCACTGACGTTGCAAGTATCAGTGAGAATAAGATAATAATATTTCTCTAATTGGAGAAATATTTAAATATTTTTTTGGACATGTCATTTATTAATTGGCTGTGAGGACAGTTTTTTGTGTACCAGTTCTGACTTATTTGCTCTCATGGTGCATAATCATTGTGAAAGCATCCAGATGCAATGAGGTGTTGGCAGTTTGCTAGGTGAGGATGCTTTCCCAGATTAAGAGAGATTGCCATGGTCTGTATGTCCTGGTGAGGAAAGAGTGTGGCTTTGGTGTTCCCTAGGAAAGCGTCAGAGTAGTTTGTGGGTTGGGGTGGGCTCATGGGCATTTTGAGTGAGAGCCAGGAAAGAGTTAGGCATTCTCAGTTGTCACAAGTGGAAAAGAAATTTCTTTGAAGGTGGTGGAAATTGAATAAATCACACAGTTTTCCTGTAGAAGTCCCATTGAAAGCAGGTGGTGGATGTGGAAAAAGATGCTGAGACCGTGTTAAAGATTCCAGTTCACTGAAATACCAAGCTTGTCCTTGGAGCATGCGCTTAGAGATTCAGCAGAGTTGACATATTATGAGTAATTGATTTTTTTGTTCTAACTCCAAGTTGTAGGACAGCCACACCTTGATGGCAGCAGCGAGGAGCAGGTGATAGTTGCCAATCCTCCAGATGTTTGCCAGGTAGTAGAGGTGACAACAGAAAGTGATGAACAGCCTCTCAGCATGAGCCAGTTGTACCCCCTACAGATCTCCCCTGTCTCGTCCTACGCAGGTAAGCATCCTCCTGTTTCTTTATGTTCTTTTTCAGAAATGCTCAAAAGACACTGAACTTGCTAGAGAGCGCCATGCCAAGAGTCAGGGAGGGGTCTCTGGGGAATAGCAGGCTCTTTAAGGGCAGCTGGCACAGATACAGATTCAGTAATGTCTGTTCTGCTGGCTTCTGTATTTTTAACTCAAAAACTCATGGTCCTGTATATTAATTTTATGTTGGGAAACAGCTCAGAAGAGCTGAGGATGGAAATATAAGCTGCAGTTTTTAGCCTGTGACTAATGGAGAAAGAACCTTTTTGGACGTAATGTAGAGAGGCCTTTTCATCTTTTATTAGAGGGACATTTTCAGTGGTACAAATGATATGCTGAAAATATATTGTGCCCCCCTGGCAGCCTGATCTTTTAAAGATAAAAGGTCATAATCTCTGCTGTATGTTTCCATGGTTCTTACCATAGTGGATACAGAGTGCTAAAGGCTGCATTAATGATATGTAATGCAAATGTGAATCTGAAGGCCCTAGGAGGGCGTGGATCTGTCTTGTTACAAATAGTCTGCAGACCAGAACAGCCATGTAGTGACTGATAAGAAGGGGTCTGTGGAAGTCTGATTTTCAACGTCTGTCTCCCGTCTGGATTCTCTGATATCTAAAAAAGGGAGAGATAACAAGCTTTCCCCTGAGTCAGGGTGCTAATGGTTTCTTGTTGTTATCTGGCCCCTTATTTTCATAAAATTGGTAGGAAGTTAAGAGTCTTGGCCCTTATTTATCCCTTATCCACGGCTGACAATATGTTCAGAAGCTGTTAGAGGAGAACAAACACAAATGTACACATGGGCACACCATAGAATTCCTGCAGTCATACAAGCCTTATTTCCGTAGGAGACAGGGCAAAACCACGTTTGAAAGTAGAAAAAGTTTCATATCCAACCTGTCCTTCCTTTTTTAATGTGTTGCTAACTTGCAAGCTTCAGGAGACAGAGGCAAAAACAGAAATGTCGTCTTATTAGGCAAACTCGAGAATTAATTGTTCCCGTTGCAATTTATTACTTTATACATGGTTTTGCCTTTGACTCATTAAGCTGAATTACTTCCAGATGTATTTTTATAAAATATGTATGTAGGATTTTTTATCTTTGGGTCTGGGTGAATATTATGATATTCTGTTGAATAGCCTCCAATGTTAGTCTCAAATGTTGATATACGGTCATGCTTCCCCATGTGTTTAGTCTGTAATGATCAGAGCATTTAAAAGGGCTTTGCAAAGCATAGGGAGGGATGCTTTAATTTATTAGCGGTGGGAGAGAGGGCCTTTGAAACATTTGTCCTTGTTCCAAATGCTTCTTGCAAAACTGTTCCTGGCTGTGTAAAAGCAGCAGTGATGCGTTTTTTTAATCTCAGCTAAAGGATCTAAGCTCTTGGAATGCAGACAGAAGTCACCAGTCCTTTTTAATACTTTCATCAGTGAGCAGAAGAGGTGGTGGAGTGCATGCCTGCAAAATTTAAAGTAGACACCAAATAAAGGACACCATCAATATGCCTGAAGGCAGGGCCACCATCTGGAGAGACCTAGAGAAGCTGCAGGAATGGGCCAACAGGAATCTTACAATGCAAAATCATAAAATTGTCTAGGTTGGAAAAGACCTTTGAGATCACCAATTTTAACCAGTTCAGCAAGGACAGATGCAAAGTCCCACGACTGGGAAGAAAGAACCCTTTGCAGTGATTCAGTCTGGGGCGAGTGGGATCCGGAGTAGCTCTGCAGAAAGAGGGGGGTGGTGAGAGTGGTCAGACAATGGAATGGCCTGGAGTGGTGGAGTGGTGGAGTCGCTGTCCCTGGCAGTATTCAAGAGGCTCCTGGATGAGAAGCTATGAGATATGGTTTAGTAGCCTGTGGTAGTAATGGTGGTGGGAGGACAGTTGGACTAGATGATCTTGTAGGTCCTTTCCAACCTTGTGATTCTATGATTCTGTGACATGAGCCAGCAAAGCACCCTGGCTGCAGAGAAAGCCACAGCCTTCAGGAGCATGGCTAGTAGATCGAGGCAGTGATCATTTCCCTCTACTTAGTGCTAAGTCACACTGCTTCCAGTGTACTGGGTCCAGTTTTAAGTCCCTAGTCAAATACAAACAGGAGCAAATGTAGGAAAAGGCTGCCAGGGTGATGAGGGGTTGAAGCATTCATTCTCTGCGAGGAGATGCTGAGGGACAGGGCTCGTTCTGTCTGGAGTGTTACTGAGAATGTTGAGTGAGGCTTCTTTCATGGTGGTAATGGCATAATGAGACGTAAAAGGCAGAAATTGAAGCAATAGAACTTGATCCAACTGGGTATAAGAAAAAAATTAACTTTTTTCACCACAGGGTTTGACATTACGAGAATGACATTTATGGGTCATTTTTGTGATGTTTCTAGCTTTATCTTGTTACACACAAAACCATATAGATGTGGAACCCTAAACCTGCCCTTGTGGCTCTGCTGCGTGCAGTTGCCTATTCTGTCAGATGCTACCACTGAGTGGCAGGAAAGAGGATGACCATAACAGCTGCACAGGAGCACTTAGTTTAGCTCTTCTGAAATAACAACAAAAAAAGTAGCCGTAGGTATCAGCTGTCCTACATAAATCTGCTTTATTTCAAAAACACCTCTAGTTCCTTTCTGAGGTTACACAGGCAAATGATATTTCTGGCCCTTCTGAGTTTCCTCATATTTCCATTGACGTCTATGAAATCCATTTTTTTTAGTACCAAGGCTGTTCTTGTCAACCTCATCTTGACACTGATTCAAATAACCTTCCTGATTCAAATGACCTCTCTAACTTTCCATACCAGAGTGGCCAGCTTCCATGGCTTTTCCTAACTATAGTGCTCTCTCTTGCTCAGCATTTTGTTATGTATAAACATCAAGGATGGATTCCTTTTCATCTACATCACTATTTTCTGTTGCCACATGCTTCTTCATGTCAAGGAATATCTGTTTCTTGTCTCTGTGTGGATTCCTCCTATTGACTGTGTCCGTGACCGTTTCTCCTTTTGTACAGATTACTTTCTGCCTCTTCTTCCCCTTTCCCTCCCTCCTAGTCTGGCTTAATTAGCCAACTTTATCATGTTGTCACATCTCTCTATACCTGTGCCAGTGAATGAGGAGCCCTGCAGAGTGTTAACTTCATAGAGCTTCACAGTTAGATCCTCTGCCTTGCTGCATGTTGTGGCTGGGACTCTGGAGTAGGCAAGGTGCCAGCTATGGAAGTTAACAGTGTTTAGTAGCTGAGCTGCCTGCTTACTTATTTCAGAAGGACTTTGAGTGCAGTTTAGATCCTTGGGTCTGAACAAACAACTGAGCCCATGAGTTTATGGCCCTTTGCCTAAACCTGGTCCTTAGCTGAGCCTCTGGGAAAGAACAGGGAGTTGCCAGTCTTTCTGGAGGCATGAATGGAGGTCATGTGGTCCTACCCCCTGCTCTAGCAGGGCCACCCAGAGGGCTTGAAAATGCAGTGGGGCTCAGGCTCTTCTGCAAGCAAGGGCTGAGCTGCAAGAGTGTGGTCATCCTCCTGGAGCTGTAGCCCTGTCCCCCAGTGCAGAGGAGTGGCAGCTGGTGTGTGTGTGTCTCTGTGCTCTGTTTGGAGGTGGGAGGTGCTGGGGCTGCCCTGCTGTGGTGCGGGAGGTAATTGCATTTCTCTGTGCTGGAGTGTTGGGCAGAAGGATGAGGAATAGAGTGGGAGGCAGGGCAAAACTGAAATAAGAGCAAAGTGTAATAGCAGTAATAAAGTGCAAGAACTGATAATGAAGTCTTGAGGTGGCAAACTGAGATAATAGTTTATGAAACAAAACCACGCTTATCTCCTCTAGGGTGGTGGTGGTGATGATTTGCAGGGAGATAAAAATAAGGATTTGCACAGGACTTTGCTCATAACTGGCCTCAAGCTACCAAGAGCTGGAAAGGGGAAGAGGGGGCATTCCCCACCGGCAGGAGTCTCTCTCTGCCCGGACGTGTGAGCAGTAACACTGACCTGCTTCTTCCACCTCTGTTGCAGTCTGTTCCAGAGTGTATCCATACTAACCGTGACAACCACATAAATTTACTCCATAGTTCAATGATGCTGTGTTGTCTGGCCCTTAGATTACTTTACAGGGGGTTCATGGTTTACTGTTCTTTTCTGATTGTTTGGCTTGGCTCTGTTTGCTTGTACTTATATGAAGTGGATCATGCCTCTTGAGCTGGATTTTGTTACTGTAGATAAAATTACTTGGGTTTCATTTTTGCTTCTGTTTTATTTGACAGAAAGTGAAACGACCGACAGCGTTCCAAGCGATGAAGAAAATGCAGAGGTAAGTGTTTTCTGGATTTTTAATGCTTTGGAGCAAGATTTCAAAATAGTGTCTTGAGGTATTCTTTCCACTTCTTCATTTGCAATTGTGTGCTAGCGGAGCATTCGTGTTTAATAGCTGGGGAAGAAAGAAAAAGTAGGAATATTCAGGGGAGACAAATGTTGGGATGATTTTCAAGCAGAACACGTATCTCTGCAAGTTCATTCTTCCTCATCTGTCGAAACTACAAGGAAATTGATTTTCATGAGAAAATACTCTGCAGAGCCATCAGCAGTGCCAGCTGGTTTGTCAATATGGAGCAAACTATTGAACCTTGTCATGCGCACGCGTGCATGTGTACGCTGCATTGACATTGCTGGGTAGTGAGTATTTTATCTCAGCTGATACACACTTGCTTTGTTTTCCTTAAATGGCATGTGAGCTCATACAATTGGAGGAAACGCTTACACGTGTGATAGAAATACAACTTGAATGTTTGAGGTGTGCGAGGCCAAAAGCTTTCCTGAGCAGGCAAGACTGAGTTAGCATACAGCAAGAGCTACTTTCTGTCTGCATGGTTATAATAGCGTTTATTCCTCTGCTCTGTACCAGAGGACTGTTCCTACTTCCATGAGCAGGTGGAAAATAAGCTACCTATGGGAGTTTGTGTCACAAGGAAGAGAGAAAAGTGTGGAAATGCCCCAGCTGCTGTACCAGTGGTGGCTGAGGTGGGGGTTCCCCATCTCCCCAAACCCAGTGGGGACCCTCCTTTGACAGGATGTGCCACTGCAGCATGTGTGATGGTGAAAGGACAGGATGCTCGTGTTTCCTTATCAGACCTCATCCCTGTGATGGGTAGACATGCTGCCAAGAGGTTTTCCTGGCAGCCTTACCTCTGATGGCAGAGCTTTTGAGTCTCTGTGCCAACCCTCCCCAGTAATGGAGGAGACTTCCATTTGAAGCTCTTGAGCTTTAGGTCACCTGTGTCCAATTTTGCCAGTGGCATACTGTGTATAAGGTCTTTTTTTTCCATGAGAAGAATGGGCATGGTGTCTTGAGCACTGGAGAGCCACCAGGATTAAGACACAGGACTTATAAAGGGAGAACTGACAGAAAGCAAAGACATTCAAAGCCAGCTGCTTTGACTCAGCCTTTTAGAGATGGGGTAACTGCTGTGCAATTTGTGCATATTTCTGTCTTCATCTTACTACTGGGAACCGTTTGCAAAGTGCGTTCACTCATGCAGTCTTTCCTTGCTTTTCCTCCCCCTTCATAGGGACGACTTCATTGGCAGAAGAAAAACATTGAAGGCAAACAATATCTCAGCAATCTGGGAATGCGGAACACTTCTCATATGCTTCCCAGCATGGCTACATTTGTAGCCAACAAGCCTGATCTCCAGGTCACCATCAAAGAAGAAAGCTGCCCGCTGCCTTACAACAGCTCCTGGCCCCCTTTCCCAGACATCCCTCTGCCACAAGTAGTGTCCACAGCCTCCACTAGCAGCAGCCGGCCAGACCGCGAGACACGGGCTAGCGTCATCAAGAAAACCTCAGACATCACCCAGTCAAGAGTCAAGAGCTGCTAAGCCTTTGACAGTGTGTTTTTTAGCTTTGTTTTGTTTGGTTTTGTATTTTACGTTTCTCTAGGAGAGGTTCATCCCTTGACGCACATTAGACAAATCTAAGGTAAAGAAAGCCTTGGCAATATAAAACATTGCTGTGTCTGACTCCAGTGCCGGAGTGTTTTTAACTCAGGACTCCAGCCGTCAGTGTGTACATCTGAACCCAGGTGGACTTGCAGGGTTGCTACGTAGGAAAATAAAACAAGAACTTTGGCCCACTTGCAGGTTCCAGTGTTTCATAAGAGGACCAACTGACCACAAGGGAAGTGGTGCTGCTGCGCTTCTTGCTGTCAAGGCTGTGATGGAACTGAAAGCCTCAGAATGGAAGAGAAAATGTGAACTAGCTGGAATATTTTTAAATAAGAAAAAATCTATTGTGAATATTGTACATAGTGCAGTACTAGCAACGTTGCAGTCTGCTTCTGCACCTTATTAAGAAAGCACTTACAAAAGGCCTTTTATTACCTTGCTCTACTTAATGGCACATTGAAGGTCCCTCCCCACCTGTATTCTTTTCCAAGGCTATTCTTGCTAAAGTGTCTTTAAAGAATAGTGGAAAGGAAAGAAAGTTAAAACTTCCCATGTGGATTTCATACATTTTAAGACTGCTTTTCTTGTGTTTGTTTTCTAATCTGCTATGCTTGAATGCCGCGTGGTACAATAGGGAAAAAAAAAAAAAAAAAAACTATTACAGAGATGTTATGCAAATTCCCAGATTTAAAAAAAAAAGAATACTCTAATTCTAACCAGAGCAAGCTTTTTTATTTTTTATACAGGGGAATATTTTATTCAAAATAAAATTCTAAAGTGAATATAATTTTTTTTAATCTTTTCTACAGCAAATTTATAATTTTAAGATTCAATCCTTGGTTATCAGCAGTTATTACATCCTTGTGGCACATTTTTTTTTAATTTTGTAAAGGTGAAATAGCTTTTATGAGCTCATGTAGCAATCAGATTATCCTGTGGATTGATAATAAATATGGTATATAGTTAAATTTTTAATAATCCTCTTGTTTGTCTCTCTTTTTTAATCTTTCAGAAGCCCCAGATGGCATGGGTGTTTGATAGGTGGATATGACCGCTCAGAGTGAATTATTAGCATGAGCCACCTTTACAAATTCTGCAGTGCTCATCTGACAGAGTGGGAAGTTCTCTGCTCGAGACATCTTGAGGTGGAAAGAGGAACTAGTGCTTAATGGCAACCAGCTCAAGTTTGGCCTCACGTGCACAGGTTGGGAACTGCAGAACTCTCCTGGTGCTATTGCTTGGTTTAGCTTTGAGATAGGCATCTCATGGAAGGGAACTTGGGGATGTTCATCTGCAGCCTAGTGTGGGCTCAGCTGAGCTTGCCCCATTCCTGGTAGATAAGTATTTAGTTTGCTCTCAGCTTACTTGTTTCAACAGTAGTTTCTTATTAGTGGAATGAATCAGAAGTCAAGTAAATACTCCAGAGCAAACATTCTCCAAGTCTTTCAATATCTGCTGCATGATGGCAAGTTCTGATTTCTCTGGTTTGGGTGAATCATAGGATGGCTTGGGTTGGAAGGGAGCTCAAAGACCATCTAGTTCCAAGTCCCTCTCCTGCTTGACAGCATTGCCAACTGCTAGATCGAGTCCCAGATCCAGCTGCCCAGGGCCCATCCAACCTGGCCTTAAACACCTCCAGGGACGGGACATCCACAGCCTTTCTGGGCAGTCTGTGCCAGCACATAACCACTCTCTCTGTGAAAAACTTCCCACTGACATCTAATCTAAATCTTCCCTCAATCTGTATCTAATGGAGCGTGTTGTAGCAGCTTGCAAGTTTGCATGGTGGTGGTGGACAAGCCATACCATTGATCCTGTGAAGCACTGTAAGCTTCACACAAAGTGTTCTTCAAGTGTGGTTATCTCTACTGTTGAGTACATATAGAGTATTGTGTGTATTTGTCTGATAAGCAGTAATGGACACAAAATTGGCTGTATCAAAGGAAGATGTATTAACTGGCTATTTAAAAGGCTCAGGTTCTGGCTAGTAGAATGTTCCTATGTTCTTAACTTGATACTACAATTTCAAATTTCATCACAAGTCTGCATGAAACTTGCAATTTTGTCTTACCAAACCAGTGATCTGGGAAGAGGGGGCTAGAGATTTGGTTGGAGATTGTTCTGTAGCATCTCCCAGCCCCTTTTAAGATGGTGAGATCCTGTTTGTTAGGCAATGACTTCACAAGATCACAGAAGAACTAGGGTGGAAAAAACCGTAGGGCACATTGGGTCTGACCTGTTGAAAGCAGAATCTTGGACTAGGTTATCCAAAACCATGTCAAACCAAGTCTTTCTAGCAGGGGAGACCAAACTCTTCTTCACCCAACAATCTTCAGCGCTGTGTAGTTTTCACAGAAGATAACATTCTTTATACCAGAGTTGCCCCTGAAGCAGCTTGGGCCCATTGCCTCTTGTCCTGACACCATGAATCTTTTTGAAGAGAATACCTTCATCTTCTCTGGAACCAACTTTTAGGCACCAGGAGACTCCCTCTGATCAACTCCCTCTGAGTTTCTCTTCTGTAGGCTGCACAAACCTCTTTGCTTCAACTTCTCTTGACCAGACCAGTGGCTTACCCCTAGGGCATGGCTGTGGTTGGGACTGGGAGCTGCAGGTGGAGAGTGGCTGGAAAGGGGCTGTCAGGAAAAACTTAGGGCTGGAAGAATCATCATCTGATGAATTTTCATTGTGGGGAAGGAAGAATTGGTTTTGTTCAAAATTAACCTTTGGGTTAGGGCTGCATACAATGACAAGCCAAGAGCTGCAGTTTTCTTGTGGCTAGGAAGGAGCTGCCAGGATAAATGGAAGGCTAGTGGCTTGAGTTCTCTTCTGGGGAAGGCATCCTGTAGGAAAGGAAGGGCTGCGGTGCCTGGGCTGAGACTGAGTCTGCATAAGGGCACAGGGAAAGAAACAGCCCAGTTGCACAGGGCTGGAAAGCATCTTGTAACGTAAACTCAGTGCTGGTGCTCTCGTTCTCCTCTCAGGAGTATTTAGTCTGTGGATGGAGAGGTTCTCCTGCTTCTGGCTCAGCCTGGGCTTAGCACTAGAATTATAGCTGCAAGCCCAGAGATGCAGTAGTGTGAGGACAGGAAAACATCTCCTAAAGTAAACAGAGCTGACTCTAGGCTTTTGCTTTTCCAAAAACAGGGCTTCTGTTTACACCAGTGATGGCCTGCTCTCTCTGGGGTCAGATTGGCTGCGTTACACACTGGCACATCACTGCCAGCCTCCAGGAGACAGCAGTGCCCTATGCATTATGTACTGAAAGCTGCAGTAGCTTATCATTTCTAGGTGTGTTTTAAACTCCCTACCCCTCACACTTGGCACTGACAAAAAGTCTCAAAGGCTTTGTGCCTTTCAGCAATAGCTTCTGCTTGCAAAGTCCCTGAGCTTCTTGCCTTTCAGCATGTCCTGCATGGCTGTGAGTGAGAGTCTGGCTTCAACAAGCTCCACTGTGAGCTTGGGTAAGCAAGGAGCTGTTGCCTGGAGGGCTGACAGAGTTTTTCTAGGTAGATAAATGTTTGTTTCTGACATAAACTCTCACTTGCAAGGAGAAGGCTTTGCTGCTCTTCAGCCATCTGAAAAGTAGGACTAGTTGAAGGAGAAAGGCAGAATCACAGAATCACAGAATGGCCAGGGCTGGAAGGGACCTCAAGGATCATGAATCTCTAACCCCCCTGCCACATGCAGGGTCACCAACCTCTCATTTAATGCTAGACCAGGCTGCCCTGGGCCCCATCCAATCTGGCCTTGAACGCTTCCAGAGACGGGGCATCCACAACCTCTCTGGGCAGCCTGTTCCAGTACCTCACCACTCTCTCTGTAAAGAACTTCCCCCTGACGTCCAACCTAAATCTCCCCTCCCTCATCTTAAAACCATTTCCCCTCATCCTGCAGTTTCCTACCCTTTCAAAGAGTTGATTCCCCTTCCCTCTGTAGGCTCCCTTTAGATATTGAAATGCTGCAATGAGGTCACCCCGCAGCCTTCTTTTCTTCAGGATGAACAAGTCCAGCTCCCTCAGCCTGTCTTCATAGGAGAGGTGCTCCAGTCCCCTGATCATCTTCATGGCC